TATTCCCTTAGAATTTGGGCAGTTCGAGTCCTGGACCTAGCTTGAGAAACACGCCGAGTGCATGTGCATGTGTGCCCAAAATCCCAAGAGAAGAGTGGAGAAGGGATTCAGTATGGCCACCTGCCTTGAAGGGTGCTTTCCACCTCTTTTTCTCTCTCTTTCTCTCTCTCTCCCTCCCTCCCTCTTTCTCGGGAGCACACATGTCCTGTAGCCCAAAAGAAAAGCTATCTGATTATCGTTTTAATATGCATTTTTATTATTGCAAATGTGAGCGAGTATCTTACCATTTGCTCGGAAAGTTATCTGCCTTAGTTCTTCCCTCTGGGAGCTCTTCCTGCATTTATATGACTGGTCTACACTTTCTACCACATTCCTCCGGTGAAGAACCCCTCAGCGTTAATCCCAGGCTGACATGGACGCTCCCGGTGCTGAAATGAAGAGGTATAGATCTTCAGGGGCATTCGGGCCATCGTGCGTCTCATCACGACCAACGATTCTTGTCTCCTTTTGAGTTTTCTAGCTATAAACCCAAGGGTGATAATTTACCACAGGTGCTGGGATGTGACTCAGCTCGGACCTGCCTCCCTGTCCCATGGCAGCAGGTTTGTCCTGGGACTCTGCAACGTGCCCGCCTGCCCACCCCTGAGAAGCAATATGTCTTAGTCATTCTGGGTTTCTGTTTTCTCCCCACGTCTTTATAAGCTGCGGTGGGAACAGAAGCAGGAGATCCTGAAAGGCGCCTTTGTGCCCTTCTACTCCAGGAACCACCTCAGTGTTCTCGGAAAGAGGAAAGATTGAACAAAAGCTGGTATCCTAAGAATCCGGAGGTCAGGCCTTCCTTAATGAGCCCAGGCAACTTCGCCTCATTAATATGCAAATGAGCTCCGAGCTGAGCTTCAGCTCGCGCAACCCAGTGAGTCTCCGCGCAGGCGTCGATTTAGAGGTAGGGTTTCCCCACTTCGAGCATCTGCAAGGAGAGCTTCACGGAGAGGGGATTTTTCTACTGGCTGAGCTGGGTCATTTCCAGGTGTCAGCCATTATCTTGACCACGCCTCCATTGTGCACAGGGCCAGGCTTTACAACCAGATAGACTGGGGTTCAAGTCCTTACTCTGCCCTTTTCTGCCCCTTTAAGCCAGTGTTGGCATCCCAAATGGATTCACAGTCGCGCCTACCTTGCAGGTGAGGTGCTGGTGTCTTGGGATGTAGAAAAACTACAGAGGAGAGATTTGGTGATCAGAGAAGAGCAGAATTAGAAGCAGCTCATTGGCCAGGCTTTCCCTTTAAGAAGATGAAACAAGCAAGTTAACTACTGAGCTCTGCAAAATCAAATCCTAACATTTCTTTCTGGGTTGAAACTCAGCAACTTCTTATTACCCTATTCCTCGCAAAGTGTTAGAAGAAGAAGAAGAAGGAGAAGAAGAAGAAGAAGAAACTTTGTCTTGGCTCCTAAGGCTGTGTGATTTGGCCCCTATCCACCTCCTAACTCTCAGCCCACTGCTTGGACTTATCTCTGGGGCCCCAGCATGGACGTCTCTCAGGTCTGTGACTACTGGCACTGCCCTCTGGCCTCCCCTCCAGCCTCTGACCCGGAAGCTCCCTCTGTCTGCAATAGTCTTTCACCCTTCCCTCCACCGGCTAATTCCTGCTCAATGTCCAGTTTTCATCTTAAGCACCACTTCCTCCGATGGAGGGGAGTATTCCTGACCCCCTGGTTATCTGTTCCCGTGACTCTTATGACCCCTTTAAGTCCCATCTTTTTTTTTTTTAAAGAATTATTTGTTCAATTTTTAAATTTATTTATTATTATTATTTTGAAATTATTTTATTTATTTATTTTTATTAATTCACTTTACACCATCACAACACACAAATGAATTTTCCATCAAAATACACTGTGCATTGTCTCAATCAAGCACATCCACATACATGTTCTCAGCAAATAATTTTCCAATTCTTACATCTTGCATACCTTGCCCTTTGTCTTGCCATCCCTGATTCCCCATCCCCCACCCTCTGCTATGTCCCATCTT